CATTGTTAGGTTAGCTGATCTGCGAAAAAGAAAGAAAAGGTTAGACACATAGTCAAAAAGTTAAAAATAGCACTAAAACGTACAGGTCCCAATTCATTCTTTCCTGTATCTCACATCATCATTTCATACCACTCAGTAAAAAATGACATCATCTGACTGACTTATGACATTCAGCACCATATTTCACTTAGGCAAATGACTATGTGAGTGCAAAACAAAGATCCACTTTACTAAAATTAGGTAATTCAAGGAAAGGCAAATAATTTTTCTGGTGCCCTGACCATGGTTTCAGATGCTTTTCAAGAGAAGCTACTTTAGATGCTGTTGGATTTTTTCAGCAGATTATAATTTTCCTTATTTGTTAATGTATTGCCCCATACAACTTTATATAGAGAGTAATAAAGTTTCAATCAATTTAACCCTAAGACTGATATAGCTGTCTTTAAAAGTGTCTATTTTTATTTATATTTGTATGTGTATGTGCAGTTAAAAGACTATTTACAAATTGATTCTGACAGCAGAGATGCTTGTACAGCCTTTTCATTAGGACAATACAATTTTAAGATGTAAAACTTGGAAATATTCTTAAATTATAATGTTACCACATGCAGTCATTCTGACTATGTCTCCAACCTTTTCCTTGTACAGCTTGAAATAATTTTAGGAAGGGAATTTGAGTAGTTTTGAAAATTATTTAAAAGTTCCACTTTCCATTTAAATTTTCATTTTTTTATCTTCTGTTTCTTTGTGTCAAGCACAGACAGTTATTTTAATTTCAATGTCTAGTGAACAAAAGCACAGAGTGAAGTAGTTCAGTATTAATGCTGAACTTGCAACAAGTTGGCATAAATGCATTGGTAATTTCCTTGAAAGGCTTAGGTTGATTATTGATAGAGGGTTCTGTATTTTTCCTATAAAAGCTAAAGTATAGTTTGTACTATGCCTAAAGTACTATAGTGAGTAGTAGTGATGAGGATTCTTATGGTTCAGAGATCAACAGAATAGCAGAATCTTTGTTATCCAGAAGTGTTTGACCTGCTACATTTTCATTTTATGTTGGCAAGAACACATTCCACAAACACCTGTATAGCAAAGCATAATTCTCACTTTCAGAATTAAATTTTTTAAAGTGTACTTCTTATCTACCTATTTAGGGGAGGGAGAGTGTGTGATTAAATATACACTTTAACATAATTTAAGACTGCAAGCCATAGTCCTTCAAATCTATCCTAAACATTTTAGTAGCAACAAAATATCAGTCACTGTTGGTCAATGGACCTGCTCATTCTCAACCAGTGAGCAAGGATATGTCTACAGTAGCAGGGCCAATGGATTCAATCCTTCACTGAAAACCTCGATTCTAAGGAAAATTAAAGTTGTGGGGTCTATCTGTCGATCCTCTTCCGATAACTTCTGTTCCATTTATTCCAGAGTTATCAAAGAACAGCAGCTTCAAGCATGTTCAGTTCCTGCATGTTCCATAAAAAAGCCTATAATGACTGCATAAATGACAGCAATCCTATAGACACTTTCACTGAGAGACTGAGCTGTCACTAATCCTATGTGGTGGCTGGCTGGCTAGGAAGTCTGGGCAGGCTGTTCACCAGGGAACACATTCATAGCTCTGGTCAGTTATAGTATAGACTGAACCTGGAACAGGTGGCAAGACAAAAAGCAAAGTGAGAAATATCAAGGGATCTTAATGAAGATGTTTTATATAGGTCACAAGGGGAACTGCAGTTAGTAAAGCAAGGAGGTATAAGAATATGAGACACATAAAAAACACGAAACAAGCTCCATTCATTAGATCCTTGTTGCAACAATCTTGTTTAACTTCTGTTTCATTTGTTCCTTGGTTTTATGACTTAAGGTTGATCAACACTGCCAACAGGCATATGAGTTTGGCTGTCTCTACATGCGTATGCGTGTGCATATGAACACACACATACAATACATTACATACAAAACAAGCTATCTAAGACATTCTGCTACTTAAAGTGCCTCATAGCAGAGTAGTTACTTGGGGCACTAGTTGTCTAGAGAAAGAGACCATCAAAACCCTACTAACAATAATAATGCAAATATGCATATTATTTATTAAAATATTTGCATGTATAACGCCTTTTTAAGCTTCTGAAATGTTTTGGTTGAATCCCGAATTACTACATTTTATTCTCTTCTCTTCAAAGTCACTGTGACACTGGCAAATGCTGATCCCTTGAAATACAACGTTTTTTGCACACTCCTTTCTTACAAGGAAAAGGCTGGCTTTTGTGCAGATCTGCAGTGGCAGGCTGCTAAAAACAAGGAGGCAATAGCCATTTAGGCAGATCAATTTAGCATGCTGAGAAAACTACAGAGCAAGGAGATACTCACTTCATACACATAACCCTCCTAGAAATTGCAGATTAAAAAAAAAAAGAAAGCAGCATTGTATTTAGGAACTGTTTCAAATTGAAGTGCTATAATAACCCTCCAAAGAAGCAGACTGGAGATAAATTATGCAACTGTAGCTGATTTGAATCAGATTTTGAGGGAACTAGGGAACTCTCCAGAACAGGTATTTGCTCTGCAGTTCTTCATGTTAATTAAAACAGAACAGAAGGCCATCATAAAAGCTGCTATATTATTAAAAGCAAGATAATAAAACCCTAAGAAAAAGGCTTATTTCAAAATGGAAAATAATGGGAAGGAGGAGCTTCTGCATATGTTGACTAGTTCATAAGGAAATGTTAATCATTATTGTTGTATTGACATAAGTGGTGATGAGGTGATTTATACCATCTGTGCATCTGGCTGTGTGGAAATATACATATTTGACCAGAACTGATGATATCAGCAGACTTACACTGAACAAATGAAATTCTAGTTATAAAGCATAGATCAAGGATGTGCAGACGTATAAGAAATGTGAGCAAAAGAGTCACAAGATGAGTATGTGATATATTTATTTCTACTAATGGTCCATTCACATCAGGAAATGTGATAAAGTCAAACTCACTACAGAACAAAATGTAACACAGAAATGTAAAAGTGACTCAACTAGTACAAGTCTAGCAATTGTCACAGTCTGGTGAGGCAAATCTCAACCTTGATTCACAGAACCTTACATATATTTACATATGCTTAAATTAAAAAAAAATTACATACGTGCAAATTTAGTCATTAACTGAACTTTCATTTACTTCATTAGAATTTATAGAAGACACTCTAAAATACATGATAGACTGCCTTCCTTTACTAAGGGATTTCTTTCTAAGTTGGGTATCTCTCTTCTGATTTGGGGCCCTTCCATTAGCAAACACAGATTAAAAAGTCTATAAATATTGTGATCTCAGAAAGACTGTTGAATTTGAGAATTCTTATTGACAAGAAATTCACTTTATAATACATATTTGTTGTAGTTTGGTGAGTGGAAGTTGAAACAGTAAGGAAATGTCAAGAAACAGACATCAACCAGTACTACTTCCTCATCATGAACTAATATGGCAAACCAGCTATTTTTAGGAAGTGATATAAATCTCAATGCTTTGAATTGCAGTAGAAACCTAGAAACCATGCTTTTCCTGACTATCTCACATTTTATCTTGCATTTATAAGGCAAAACGACCCAAAAGTAAAAAAGATAACTTTCACCTCTATCATTTTATGATAGCAAATTATAAAACACAAAGCTTCCTGATTGTGCCTACTTAGATCACTGAGCTGGGGACAAGGCCAGAACAGACAAGATAATTTTAAAGTACAATGCTTAATTTACCAGTTTGCAGGTCTTTGTGTATTTAGTTCTCATAACACAGGGACCAGAAATTCACAGTCAGTGAACAGAGCTTCACGTGCTTGATGACAGTAAGTCAGCAGCTTTCCACCACTTCTCAGTTGAGAAGTATCTCAGATGCTTTGTGGTAGCTGTTAAACAAGCACAGGTTACAGCCTACCACCTTAAAAGCAGGAGCTTCACATACACAGTTGAATAATATACGAGCCAGGCGATTGTGCTGGCTCAGCTACTCCCTCACACGCAGCTGAGCTGCCCATGTTGCAGCAGATGTTCCAAAGCAGGTGTCAGTTGACAAGTTAGGCGGTGGCAGGCATTGAAGCCCTCCCAAAGCAGAGCTTCAACTGGAGAGTTAAAGCCTCAAAGGAGTCATGAAATAACTTTGTTAATTTGACACTTGATAATGCAAACATCTCAAAATTCCCACTACAAACTGTATGTCACTGCCTAGCATACAGCCAGGATTTCTCATCCAGTTTCAGCATATAAAGATTTTTAACGGGTTTTTTTCAGGGAAGCTTCTGCCGAACATTTGGTATTACCAGTTCAGTGTTTAATCACACTTTCTTTTACAAGGAAATCGCAGTGATTAAAATTTTGTACACCTGATACAGCCCTTTTGTTGCCTCCTTATAGTACCTGTCCTGCGGGGAGCACCTACAACAACCCCGGCTGCAGCACAATGGCCTCTTACAGAAAGGCTGGAACCCTCTGCTACGCGCCCAGCCCACCCAAGTATCCCCTCTGGGCAGCGAGACCCTGACACGATACCAAACCCCCCGCCCCGCTCCGCTCGGCTCCACTGGATCTGTAGCTGCTTTCCGGGGGGATTCTCGCTTCACGCACGCCCGCCGCCGCAGGAACCTCGCCTTCGACGGAGGAGTGGGGGACTCGGGGCATGGAAACACGCGGTTCCGAACCCCCACCCCCGCGCTGGGCAGCCCCGCACACCCCGGTTCACCCGGGCCACCCCTCCGCCAGCCAGGTGCGCGGACAGTGACCTGTCTGCAGAGGGGCCGGCGCGCCCCGGAAACGCGGCGCAGGCGGCGCTAGGAGCGGCCTGGCCCCCGCCTTTGTGCGGGGCGCGGAGTTTGAGAGGGCGGAGGAACGCCCCGCACGGGCCCCGCGGCCGCCACCACCCATGCCCCGGCCCCGCCCCGCCCCCGCCCGCCGCGCGTCACCGCGGCCGCAGCCAATGGGCGGCGGGGATGTTTCCCGGAGGCGAGGCCGCCGCGGCCCCTCCCCCGCGGGCCGCTCCGCTCGGGGCTCGCCGGGCGCGAGAGTTTCGCTCCCGGGTGGGAGATGCCGGGCGGGATCCGTGTCCTCGCAGGTAACGCCGCGCAGGGGAAGGGGGGGTCTCGCCCGTGCCCCGCTCGCTGGCGGAACCGGCCCGGGGGGTGCTGAGGGCTAGCCGGGACAGGCCCCCCCCCCCCCTCCACGGCGGAGCCGCCGCCGCCAGGACAATAGGGGAGCGGCGAGCGGGGCAGAGCCTCCGTCGAACTCCCGGCGCAGCCTCGCCCCGCGCCCGCCGCTGCCTTCCCGGGCCGGCTCCTTACCCGGGACCGCCCGCCGGGCGCCTGGGACGCCCCCAAGTTTGCGGGGCCAGGGCGACCCTCGGTGCGAGCCCTCCGGCGGCGCCCGCGCTCTCGGCGGGACGCCCCGTGCCCGCCCTGCCGGGGGTGCCTGCGGCGCGGGGCCGCTGCTCTCCGGGTCAGCTCGGGCTCACCTTTCTCTGGAGAGGGCGGCGGGGAGGTGCCTTCCCTCCCTCCCTGTCTCCCTGCCGCCGCCGCCGCCGGGCAGTGGCGTGTGCGCCGGTCGCAGGGAGGTGGCGGTCCCTCTGCCCCTCGTCGGTGCCCGTGCGGTCACCGCGTTGCCCTGAGAAGGGACCCCGCCACGGCCCGGCCTCCTGGACCGCGGGGAAGAGGGCCGGCAGCAGCTGTGCGCCGAATAAATGGAGCAAGCGTAATTGGAGAAACTTTAAGGGCGAAATTAATTTTGAGTAGATTAGATATTTTAATTGCGTGGTGGGCACTGATGCTGTATCCGTGCTGTTGGTAGCAATGCGGTGCACTTCCCTCAGTTAACAGCCACGCTTTCCGTCTTTGTTTCCGTCAAACTAAGAGCGCAAGGGTGAACTACTTTGAGAAAAGGTTTTGCTCTTAAAGCTTCTGCTTTGCTCAGCCAGGGATTTCCAGCCTCTCAGGTTGCACAGCTCCAGGTTACTAACTTTATCTGAATTTGGGAGCACCGCTATATGGTCGCCGAAGCGAGGAGGTGCACTGATGTGACAGGGAGTACCGCCTGTCCCTGTGCATGTGTGTGTGCATGAATTGGGAATACGCGGAGACTGGAATTTAGTGTTGCAAAAAGAGAAAGCTACACAGTAATTGCCATAGCAGCTCTAATGATCGAGCCGGTTCCAGAAGCCAAATGACTGGAGCTTTTTTCCAAGATCGTATAAAGTCATTAAATGCAATATTTTCAGGAGTGCACTGGAGCTTTTTTCCTAGATTGTATAAAGATATTAAATGCAATGTTTTCAGGAGTGCAACACTTGACTTAAAAAGCAAATAAATAAGAAGAAACTGCAGATAGGCTAGTATACGTGCTTATCATTCTTTGGGCTTACAAATAAAAATGTCATATTCTGCCCTGTTTTCACTGCAGTTTTCCATTCGTAACCTTCTCCCCTTGCCATTTATACCAGCACTTGATAATAAGAGCAGTCCCAGTAGAGTTGGAGCACCAGAGAAGCAGAGGCAGAATAGCAGTCCAGGCGGAAGGCTGGCTTTGGAGCACTGAAAGAGATCCTTCCAAGTAAAGGTGGCTCATGGGTGTACAACTCCAGCCTTAGTACCTCCGCACTGATGGATTGCTCAGTGCATTAAGATTGTAGGGTCTTTTTCATCTACCTCAACAACCTCATGAGCCCATGAATACAGCTGTGGAATTTAGCCTGTACTTAAGGTGTGCAGAGTGATCTAGTGAACACTAGTCCAGTTTTAATTCTATGGGTCTTCTTGTCTCATTGTTTAAATTGTTGAGATTTAGGGCCTATTCCATTAACTCCTATCTCCATATGTCTATCTGTGATGCTTGTATGAATTCCTTGCATGGGGAAATGTGTGAGACTATGTCCTTTAATTTGATTAACAGAAGAGAGTTGAGCTCTTTTGGCAACTAATGGTTTGCTTTTCACGCGCGGAAGGAAATTATAATGCTTATCATTCTCTACAGAACTTTATAAATGCTCCACAGTCTCCATGATACCTCTGTTTGTATTACTTGAACAGTAAGAAACAGAAAAACCAGTGATTTGCTCTAGGTTTTAGAGCAAAGCTTTAACTTACAATCTAAGAATTTCTCTCTCCTCCAACCATGAGAAACTCTGCCTTTACTTCCCTGTTTGAAGTACAAAATTATGTTTAGATATGTTCCAGTAATTATGAAATGCACTGAGAGAAAAATGTAAGGTTGTATGGAACTTCATAAAGCTTTCTCATCTCCCAACCCAACTCTCCATTTTTAAATTCTTTTTTATTGAAATGTGACTATAACCATGCTTTGTATGTATGTATTTCAGATTTTCAACCAACATAATGCTGAAGCTCTCAGCTTGGAACAAGCATTTTACAGAATGGCACAAACAGAACCTAATCTGGACCATGACATATCATGGTTCCTCCTTCCATCATACTGGGCTAAAATGGTTGTGGCTTTAATTTCCTTCCTCTGCTTTGCTAACAGCTATGATGGAGATTTTGTCTTCGATGATTCTGAAGCCATCATCAATAATAAGGTTTGTCTCTCTTTTTTCCCTCACAACCTTTGGCATAAATGGTCATAGGAAAAAAAATAATGCAACAGTTGATCTAAGTAGACACAAAGTTTCAGCCTAGTAAAGAGCTTCCTTTTTTTTGACTTAATTTTTCCATTTTGTTTTATTGGGTGTTTTTTAAAGTAAGCCTTATTTAAGGCTGAAAGACAAGAAGTGCAGCAGTGCTCTACCAAAAACCTAGAAACCTAAATATGCTTAGTGAAATCTTACTCCTAAAGCTATTTCGATAACATGACTTGGGTTCTAATATAGAAACAAATTAAACAGCTTCTTTCCCCCCCCCCCACCTCAGAATGCATCCCCTTTCATTCTTTTGCAAGTAAGATGCTCTGCTTAATGAGTGCTGATATCTGGTCAAGGGGAAGGGAGCTCTTTTTGCAATTCCAAATGGACTTTGCCTGCTTATCATCTAATAAAGCATTACCTAGGCTTGCAGCAACTTTGTATGTGATGTTTATTAATGCTTATTCACAGGGTACCTGTACATCAAGACTGTCTATAGGTCTAATTTTATGCTCATTTCTAAGTCAGTGAGAGTGTGCAGTAGACTTTTCTGACACCCATTGATGTTAATAGGAGATTTTTTTCAGTATCTCCTCAGGGTCACAAATGAATAAGCCAAGTGAAACAAACTTACTCTGTTTGCAAGACACATTATGCATCACTAAGCTATTGTAGGGTGTAGGGAGCCTCCAACTGTGGTTTATACCACAAAAATGTTATAGGAAGCAAAGCTTCCTTTTCCTATGCTTCTTCCCCAGTAAAAGTTCCTGTGACAACAGTATTTTTTTTTAAATAGAAGCAGAGTATTCTTGTGCTCTGTTTTAAAACTGATCATACATGCAATGAACAGTCCTTGAAATGCTTAGACATTAACATGTGACTCAAATAAACCTCTAGCTGAGATTCTTTTGACTTTGAGGAATTGAGTGTCTTCAGTTGTTGAGACACTTCATAGGATCACATGTAGGGCTGAGTGAGCCTATGCCCATGGATGGGTCTTGGTGTTACAGCTTTTATGCTGTTCTGGAAGGTACTCATTAAATGTTTGGAAAGAGAAGCACAGGGTAAAAATAATCACATTTATCTGCTGGTTCTGTTTTCCTGAAACCATGGGGTTACGAGGAGGATAATCTGGAGGCTCATACCACTAGAAGAACACAATTAACTTTTTTTTTTTTTTGCCTTGCACAAGATTTGGAGGCAACTTATCATAATGTGTCTTTTAGAATCCTGCAGAATTACTGTTTCCTTAGACAAATTTCTATTATGCACGTGTAAGTCATCATACCTTCAGTTGTAAATGTATGGGGGGATAATGCATCTGCCAGCTTGGAAATAAATCGCAAAGCTTTCAAGAGAATGCTGTAGACAAATTAAGAACCTGTAACATTGTTGTTTGGTTTTTTTTAAAGAAGTATTGTGTTGTACAGCTCCAGGCAATGTTTCATTCTGCAAAGTTTTATTTGGGACCTGTTTATAATATTTCCTGAAAGAATGAACAAAAGACTGATGTTGAAACAAGACAGGTTGTTTTGTTAATGTGCAATTTCCACACTTGTAATCTCTTTCCATTTCTTTCAGTCTTTACTTTCAAAATGTTTCAGTTTATCCATGCAACACAACAACACTAGGATTCTAGCTGTTGGCAATGCTGAGAAATTCAACCAACTGCTTAAATAAATTAATTTATACTTAGTCTGTATGTCTGAAAAACTACGAGGCTGATTCTATTTTTCATTTCAAAATCCTCTGTATTAAATTAAATTAGATATTAAATAAGGGTTCCTTGACAATATCATTTTAACACGGGGTCATATAAATATATGGAAATACAAAATCCACAAGAAAAATGCAGAGACAATGAGTTTACCAGTTTAATGGGGAGGGAGAGCATCTAGCAATGGCACAGTTTATTAAGCGAAGCATAGCATATTTTATTCCTATTCAATAGGAGAGACAGCAGTTGAAGTAATTTTGTAGATTTACTGAGCATTACTCACTGGTATTTTCTTGGCTACCACACAGTATTTACTACCTGCATCACCCTAATCTTTAAATTTTTTTGTTTTGTTTTTCAGTGAAAGATACACCGTTAGTTGACCCCATGGCTATTGTATCATGGAACATTCTGTTACTAGATTTTATTGGAGTTGAAGGCTGTTTTCCATATGCTTTCTTGTCACTTTAAGCAGCATTTTAACTGGTACATGACAGTGACTTTTGTCTTTATTTATTTACTAGCTTGGCAAGACAAACAGTTGGATTAGGCAGAGCTTCAGACACAATATGTCATTTTCATAAGCCTCTATATAGAAAAACTGACTTTTCTTCAAGTCTTGAACTCTGCTGTCTGTAAGCTGCTGCCAATCAAATATTTAGAGATTCTTTGATATCTACTTTAGGTTCTTAAAGAGGAAATCATATGTAGCTTTTAAACATTTGTGTCTATTAGAGCAAATTGTTCCTGTTTTAGGGTAAATCCACTGAGTAGGAAAATTAATGTAAGGAACTTCCTCACAGAACTTGGATATAAGAGCAAGATGTGCAGTTGAAGATTTTTAGGTCCTGTGTAAGTGTAATCTAATCACTAAGTAATTCCATGCATTCAGCTTTTCCTGCATTCTTTCGATGGAAGACAAAAGATGACTGATTATAGCGGAAAGGGAAATCAAGCCTTGTACATCTCAAATATATTTCCCATCTCAAGTTATTGAAGACCATCTGTGACATAAAGACATACTTTTAAACTTTTAACAGTGAAAAAGAAAACTCTCTCTTTCATAGTCCATTTCTTTGGCAAATATACATGAGGAGCAGTGCTGCTGGTTGGAAAAACAGTCTTAGGGCCACACCACCCTCTGACGATTGTCCCCTGCAGAGTACAAAGATTTCAATAGAAGTTGGTGTACCTCCTTTCCCAACTTGCCCCTGGAAAAGCAGGCTGTATTGATTTAGTGAGCTGCTGGTTGAGTGCAGTCCTGCTCTGAGAGTCAAATTATGACCTTTAGGGTTCGTGCATACCAATGAGGAATGGAATGGGAATTTAGGTGCCTAAGGCTAAAATTGCCTTAGAGAAGTTCTGGGAGAAGAAATTTTTAGCTATTACTTGGCAGTGGAAACATCTGTGAGAAAGTGAAGAAACTTTTCACCTTGATAATTCTTAAACCCAAGTAGGATTCCCCTGTGAGTGTTGATTTCTTAAGAATCTCCCTGAGAGTGCCTTAAATGACAGCTGCAGTATAGGATTTTTCAGACTGCAGTTTTATCCTTGCTCTCTTTTCTGAGTATTGATTAGTAAACTGTTAGAGAATGCTTCAGTTCATTTGACAGTGTGCTAGGAATTTTAGCTTACTTCCCCTTCGTACTTCTTTTTTAATCAGTTATATAATACTAGCTAAATTTGATCAAGTGATAGAAATCTTGTTGGATTTTTTTAATTCTGTTTTTGGATGGATGAAAGAATATGTTGAGAGAAGCAACAACAAATAAGTTATTTTAGGTTCAGTTTAGCAGCAGCCAGTCATTAGGGTCTAGAAATTTGGCTGTAATTTGGGCAGAAGGTGGGGTTAGAGTAACTTGCTGATTGCAGGTGTAATACTAGCTAGTACAATTTTGTTCCTAGGTTCTCTCTCAAGTGTTTTTAAGCTGCACATTTGGTATAGCATAAATTGATAGTTAATTGTGCCAGGGAAGAAGAGAAAAGGGGCAAGTATTATGTTAGTTTGAGTGTCCAAGCTTGTCCTCATAGAAAACTGAAGCAGGTACTACCAAGATCCTTATGTTTCCTCTCCAAATGGAATGCTTTCCATTCAACATGCTACATTTTTTGAGTCTTTTCATTATCAGCATGGCTTGGAGGTAAAAGGAAAGAGTAGACTTTTCTTTTGTAGTGTTTTTTTAATGTCCCCACTTGCACCCCAAAATAAAATAATTCATTACTTTTCTGTCTTTTGCTTTTAATCTTTTAGAGCAGCGTATAGAGATGTTGATTCCTGATTTCTTGTATTAAGAAATAATTGAAAAAAGCTATTTGAATAGTGTCCTGTGTGAAGTAAGGCTTCAAAAAGAGCTAATTGTTGTTTTCTATCTTTAGTCTCCTTGCTTTCATGCTTTCATTAGTAGTTGTGCTACTGATACTGGTAAAACAGTAGCTGTTTGCAGCAGTTTGTAGTTGACCTGCTTCGCAAGATAACCTAGACCCAAAATCAAAGGCTTTTTACAAAATTATAAGGTTTATGTGTTTCATATCTCAACTATTGACCAGATTATAAACCAATGTGAATATGCATAGCTCTAAATTTCATGTAGTTATGCCTGCTTACAGAATCCAAGATCAGGGCCTTTATGATGTCAGGCATTCAGATGTGACCTTCATTGCAAACTTGGGTACCTTGTCAAATGTCAGTAGTGAGCCAACAAAACTCCTGCTATGTCCATGTTAGTATGACTTTGTATTATTAGAACTTGTTGGTATTTTAGCTGCTTTGAACGAAGGAGAAATGTTAAGAATCTGCTAATTTATGATGTTTCTTTTCAGGACCTCAGGGCAGAAACCCCACTTGGTGACCTGTGGTATCATGACTTTTGGGGTAGCAAACTCAGCAGCAATACCAGTCATAAGTCATATCGACCACTAACTGTCCTAACTTTCAGGTGAGACTTGTCTTTTTGCTTCAGGTCTGAATATTTTTTTTAACATATATTAGCTCAATTGATTTTAGGGAGGAGGCAACAGAAAAGGAGAGAAACAAAGTATCTGGAGGGTAGTTGGATACCTTCCTTAAATATGATTTTCCTGTTCACTACCTTAATCTCAAATTGAGTTTTAATTTTCCATTTGGTCCCTTCCCAAAGTATACATTATTTTGACATTCTATATTTCTATGTACTTTCCAGAGATTTCATCTTATGCTCTTATATAGCTCGTACTAGGGCACTATGGTTTAGTATGTAGGTCACATCATCAAAGAACTAGGCTATGTATGTTCCCTTAGCCATGCTGCCACTTATACTGCTATTGTAGTTTCTGTTGTCTACTTTCCTGCTACCTGTCAAATGGTTTATTTTATAAATAGCATCAATGTACTGTGGCCTTTTGTCACCATGTCACTGAATAGTCTTCCCACCTCTTTCCCCGGATATTCTAACTTAAGTGAGTGTTTGTGTCTGAGAATCATAGCCAGGGAGATGTCTGCCTGTAAATATGTCTTGCTGGTGTTCTCAAATAACTAACGGTTTAAGAGGATTACTTCTGTAGATGCTTAGCTCATGTTTTTTGCACAAAGATTTGAGCAAGCAGTAGAAGTTTGTCACAGTAATGCAGAGAATCTTTGAAGACTCAGTCTTAATCTTCTTATTTTCCCCATGTGACTCAATGTTGTTGATGGGGACCTGGAGCTCGTTCTGCAGTTGTGTCCATTATAAGCTAGGCACTAAGTAAGTGCAGAAGAAGTAGTCCCAGTCTTAGTCCTCATATTCAAGCAAAAACTTTGATTCTTGATGCAGTGTCAGTGTTTTAAATATCTAGCACTGTGGGTTTTGCTGTCTGATGGACTTTCTTCACATTTTCATCACAAAAAATATGCAACTGAATAGAATGTGTCAGAGTCCTAAACCTATTAAAGCTTTCAGTGCATTACACATTACATGTTTTCCTTTTTTTCAAGGTCTCTGTGGTATATTCCATCTCCAGTAACATCCTGGTTAGTTTAAAGAGCAAACTGGGATACAACCATTACCATATCTGAAAATGTAGATGAGCCTGTGGAGGTGGTCCATAAAATGCTATTTTCACAAGTGAAAAATTGGTTTCCTTAATTTCCCTACGCTCCAACTTTTATATGTATCATTTTATAATAGGCTAGGGTTTTTTAATAGATTTCACTCATGCCAGATGCAGATTGACCAAATGAACTATATAAAATTCCCTATTCAAACTGAGTTTCTGTATATTTCACATACTGATAAAAGTATTTGGATAATGAGATGTTTCCCCCTTTTCTTCTCACTCCCCATTTTACTGCAGAGTTCCTATCTTGAATAGAGTTTTAGACTGAATTTTCACTTACACTTCCTTCTGATTCTAATGCTTGTATGAAATGTCTTTCTAACCAGTCTCATAAATTAGTTACTAAGATGTGCTAACTGACTGCTTTCTGGATGGATACTGACTGTACCCAGGTAATTTCCACATTGTCAGTCCAAATACTAGGACCTTTTCAATTAGAATGTCAGTGGAAATCACAGTCTCTGTGCTTTCAGTTTCCTCACTGTTTGGATTTAATTAAAATAATTTCATCAAGTTGGTTTTGGACATGGCTGCTCTTAAGCCCAGGGGTATCCCCCCAGTAAGCTGTGTTGTTTATCCACAAGACACTCCTGCATTGCAACTCTGAACTTATGTTGTCAACCAAAAGCCAGTTCTAAGTAACTTCAAGTATAATTAACATAATAGCATTAACTAGAGAGGATAGATACTGCGCTAAATATGATATTCCATAGGAATACCTGGAGGTTAAGATTGGGACATTGTTTCTAGCTGATTTTGGTGGTGAAATGGTAAACCACGTGTCCTGAGACCTGTCAGCTTTTTTTCTGTGTGCATATGGTCTTGCTATAGGGTTGTTTAGCTTTTCTATTTGCATATTTCTAAACATTGTTGGAATTCCTAACCTTAATATTTTCATATCTATGTAGAATTAATTACCTTCTTGCTGGAGGCTTCTACCCGGTTGGTTTCCATGTCATCAATATAATACTGCATTGTACTATCTCAGTGTTGATGATTGATGTGTTCTCAATATTACTGGGTGGACTGCAATTCAGTAATAAAGGAAGACGGCTAAACCTGGCTCCAAAGTCCTCTCTTCTAGCTGCCTTGCTCTTCGCTGTACATCCAGTGCACACTGAATGTGTAAGTATCGAATAATTATCTGCAATGATTTTTATCTTTACAGTTCTTGACCATCCTGACTAATTAATTCTGTCATAGCCTTATACTCTACACATTGCTTTTATATATTCTTAACACTTCTCTTGGCAAATGCCATAATAGAACAATCAAATATTATGATTAGTACGTCCAAAGGCTTGCAATTCCACTGGGATAGGCCTTATTAAAGAAGATAAATCATTTAAGTACAATACCTAAAGAAGTGTAGCACTAAACTACAGAGTTTCCCTAACTGCTGGATTTCCCTAATTACTTTTGATTTCCATTTGCTTTGATAAAAAAATCAAGGAGATAGAAAGGTGGAGCAGAGGCATTATATGAACTTTATATGTGACTATTGGAATATTGCATCCAGTTTTGCGTCCATGCTGCAAGGTCAACACAATGGGAAAAATGGAGAGGGCTCAGAAGAGCCATGAAAATGATTAATGATTAAAGGACTGGAAATCATCCTGTGTCATGAGAGATCAAACAACATGGGTTTATATTTTTAATATGAAGGAGAAGATGTAAGGGTTTTTTTTTTTAATCACGGTCTGTAATTATGTACATGGGGAACACAAATTTGATAGTAGTGGGCCCTTTAATACTGCAGGCAAAAGCATAACAGTGGCTAGAAGTTGAAGCTGTAAAGATGCAGAATAGAAACATGGTACATGTATAGCAGCCAATCAAAGTACCTGGCCAAAGCTCAAGTCATTTTGTGGAAATTATAGTGAAAAGAAGATGGTGTTCTTAAAAAGCTCTTTTGTACTAAGAAAATCTTACAGCCTTATGCCAGTGGGCTTGCTGGGTGTGGTCACTGATTTCTTGATCTTGTATTAATGAATAAATGAAATATAAAATTAACCCAATGTGGGATATTTTTTTTGTTAGAGTTTGAACAGTCTGAGCAACAGCAAAAGTACTAGCTTTAATTTTGATTTTGTCCTAGCAATGAACACTGAATCCTTATTGCACCTTATTCTGCATATGTGGCATTGATTTTTCATTTATTCACAACACACCATCATTTTGGCGTCTTGCACTTACTTTGCACATGATTGATGGGGAAAAGGTTATTGAAAGCTATTCCTCTCAGCTAACTGGAGACCTTGCATGTATTGGAAACCTAGAAATGGTGCACAGTTGTGTATTAGTAATTTGGCACCATTTTTGGCAGTGTGGCTAAAACATCCTGCCAGTCATTCTCTGGTGGTTGCTTGCCTGCACAGTAACTTCTTTGTGAGAGTGCATTGTGCTAGTGTCAGAAGGACCCCTTGTATTTGTTCTCCAAAACCAGTTTTAGATGTCAGAGTAAAGTAAAACAAGCCTTCAGTGCTTCTGATGTTCTGATGTGTAAAGAGAAATGTCACTTGAGTCTTAACTTTGTAATAGACCTACTATTGACTCCTTTATCAATATCCATAGTTTTATTCTTAATTCCGTTTGACTCTAAAAATACATCTAAATCAGCATGCAAATATTAATGAGCCCTTTGTCTTCTCAAATAAATAATGCAGTCTACTTGCATATTTGAAGTTTGAAGTCTTTCATATGCTTTGGGCAAACATTCGAAGAGGAGGAGGAAAAAAAGTAGCATGCTCATATATCATGTCTCTTCTAAGATCCAGGATGAAGAAAAGCCTCTGATCATTTACATGGTGAATAATAAATCTTGCTGCACTGAAGCAGTCATTATTATACTGCTACAGTTCTAGCATGAGTGTGTGTCTGGCAGCATGTCTTAAAAAGCATTCCTCATGATTTTAAATCTGTGAGTTTTAAGTATCACGACATCCTGGTTTTGAAATGAGATTACATATTTTGACATAAAATTGTGAAGAATCTGTCTGTTTGCTGCTTTGGGTTTTGGTATATACAGCAAAACAAACTGTCATGTAAAACAGATCTTGAAACGTGTAATGCTTTCAGTACCTATGTAAGGAAAACACTATCGTTTTTCTACCTGCATGTAAACAGTCTTATGCTGTAGTTCTCTGGTCTAAAAAAGGCTTATTCTTTGTAACACTTCAGTAATTAAATACTAAATGAATCATGGGCATAATAATATATCTGATAGTAATTTAAAATTTGCCTTGTTACCAGCGTCTCTGTGCCTGATCTTGCAAACATTGTACTGCTGGAGTCATTCGAGGCCGTGTGTGTTATTAGCCCCTTAATCTCTTTGTTGTAACAAGCGGACATTTATTTTCAAAACTGTCAGTTCACCTTTACTTTTATCTCATTAGAGAGAGTGGCTCCTGAAAAAGAGTGACACTTCATTATTTTCACCTTTCAAATCACTCCACAGCTATTGAGTTAATTCTTGTAATTCCTCTTTATGATAGAAGAAGAAGCAGAGAAGTTAGGTGCGTGGCTTTAGATAAATCAAGAAGTTTTCCTGAACTGAATTTAGGAGTCCAACAGTTTCTTCTTTTATGGTGCTCAAGTGAAGCTGAGGGTAAAGTGGGAGAGTCTCTCTTCAGTGGAATCAGTCATACTCTCATGCCTCTACACTTCACTTTCTCTCTCTAATGTTATTTAGAAATAGTTGCCCCATCGTTAGACTGACACAAAAATGCCCTTTTCCTAAAACAGGATTAGCAGGTGCCTTTAAACAAAATGAAGACACAGTTGATCTCTTTACTTTCCTGTTTCTGTATCACACACAAAGTGGCACAACTGGTGTACTATACAAGAACTGAAGTTACTGCTTTTGTCTCTGAAACATAATCTCAAAAAGTGAATTTTAAGAAAACCCTGTTGCTGTCCTGCTCTGCTTCAGAAAGGCCTCTTTGTACATCTAAAAACATGGCACCCAGCACTTCAGGAAGTAGAGCTAGACTGAAAAGTAAGGGGTGTTTCCACAACCATTGCTGTGTATGCTCTAGTGAGGTTCCAGCATCGGGGCTTATACAGTCCCCTGCCAGCCCCATGTTATGATTTCTACAAAAAATTTTTGGTGTTTCCTGACACTTGGGTAATTGAAAACTGAAGATGCAAAAATATGACTTGCTGTGTCTCAGCAAGTTATTATAAACACATTTTAGGGGCTTGCTGATAGCCCTGAGATTGCTCTTGATTTAAATACGTTGGCACAGATCCGGAGTACAAAGGTCCCAGAAGGCGCTTGTCATTTTCTTTTGCATTAGTACAGCTTCTGTTACAAGATGCATTTGGAGGTAGCTCTAATGCAAACAATTAATATAACATAAAAAGCTGCTGGAGGTGGAATTTTTTCTTTTCCCCTGGATCTGCAGGCTGGAAGCTATTTGTCCATTCTAAGTATTCAGACTGTAATTCGAAAGCTGACTTGTCTTCTGAAAGTTAACAGTCTTGATTTATGTTTCAGCAGAGCTGCCAATTTTGTTGAGGTTCAGGATGTTTGGCTTCAAAGCTGTGTAATGGCTTGAAACTGAAAGAGAGTAGGTTTAGATTAGATATTAAGAAGAAATTCTTTACTGTCAGGGTGGTGAGGCACTGGAACAGGTTGCCCAGAGAAGCTGTGGATGTCCCAACCCTGAAGGTGCTCAAGGCCAGGCTGGATGGAGCTCTGTGCAACCTGGTCTAGTAAGAAGTGTCCCTTCCCATGGCAGGTGAGTTGGAACTAGATGGTCTTTAAGGTCACTTCCAACCCAAACCATTTTATATTTCCATGTTTGCTAAGAGTTCTACTGAAATGCAGTCTGATCCAAAAGACAGATAGAATTGTATAGAGTCTAAATTTTATTCAGTGAAGTCCTTCTTCATTTCTTAAAACAGCAGTTTTTCATAAACTAAAGCCAAATCATTTATGTAGTTGATACTAAGAAATACCCAATGAAAATTAGGATGCATCTTAAAAAACTGGGTATCACTAATCCAATCAACCAAGTTAAAAAAAAAAACAAGCAGTGATTAAGTGGTCTTCTTTTATGTATTTCAATTTGTATTTGTGAGTATACCTTTATCTCAGATTTTCTAAGAATAAAAATCTGATAATTTGAAATTTCTTTCTTCTTTTTTTTAAGGTTGCTGGGATTGTTGGCAGAGCAGACCTACTGTGTGCCCTGTTCTTTTTGTTGTCATTCCTTGGCTACTGTAAAGCCTTTAGAGAAAGTAAGCATTCTGTTTGCCCCTTTAATTTTCTGTTGTGTACATTTTCAGCATTTGTACATTTCAGAGAAGAATAGCAAAACTAAAAATGTCAGATTGTTTTGTTTAAATTGATTAATGTTTATACTCTCATAATATATATTTTAAAAACCCCTGCTTTAGCAGGTATTTATTGTTAGAAGTGCTGGAAAGGTTGCTGTCCCTAGTCTCTGTTAAACACTACGAGTTCATTTTAAGAAAAGTCTATTTTATAATAGACTTATTTGCTAAATGTTTTATTGTTTAGAAGTATAATAAAGTATTTTAATAAGTATTTTAGAAAGAAATTAAGCCCACATATGTATATTCTTAAATATTTTACTATGTTTATGTTGTTATGTTGCGATGTCTTAAATGGGAACAAACTTTAGCAACCTTACTTGTATTTTAATGAATTATAAAAAATTATTTGTATGAATAAACCTTCTAAGTTTCTGCAATATGAGAGTACTGGCTTATAGTGCTGAATACAGTATTACTCATAGAGTTTTTGTAAGACAGCTGTATTTAACATGAACGATTCCTTTTTAGATGTTTTTTCAAGTCAGCTTTTAGATCTCTTATACTATTTGATCTGAATGCAGGTTGGCAGTTCAAATACAGTTGTGGAGAAATTATCTTGGTGTACATGCATGAATTCATGACTATGAAAAACTATGCAGCACATGCAGTCTGGTATCCGAATGTGCTCCACCACAGGAAATATAGGAATCATTTGGTGAACCCATAAGGAGCTGTGTTTTGAAGAACTTGTATATTGGCTCAATAGGCAGGGCCTGTAATGATTAACCAGAGTTGTCAGTGTATTTCAGAAGTATCTGAGCTGACTTTGTGATATAGCTTAACAACATAGTTGTGGCATCATAGAGACCTTAGTGTGGGCTGAGGGAAGTAAGTTAGTGCACAGTGAGCTGTAAGATGCTGTGAATAGCTCCTGTTAATTCAGTTTAGATTGTTTGGAACTATTTTGCATATTTCTACTGCTGATATAATAAGTTTAACTTAATCTTTGCCACTTCAAATGATACTTTCGGTGATTCCTGTTCACTTCTGATATATTTTTCTTCCCTTTGAGTAGGTTTCATTTCTTTCAACTGAACTAATAATTTCTTGATAAAAATTGGCCTTGGCTTCTTGCTTGTTGGTTTTTTCTTTTCTCACCTATTTTCCTGGATATGATTGTACTTATGGTGTTGCTTCTATTAGTGGAAGAGTAAATTAGACAGATGAAAATAATGGCTGTGTGCTTTCCAGTGTATTGGTATGGGTACGCCTGTAAGGCAGAGGTAATAATCTTTGCTTGAAAACTCAAGAGCCAAATTCTTAGGATGACCATTGGAGACTATTATGTTGGACTCTAATTATATTGTTATGGAGGATATCTCAGAAATTATTAAGAATGCAATGTGTGCTCTGGTTAAGGTTACTCAAAGTGCTTGTACAACTTGTGAAGGCCAGTTTGATAGCTTTTAGAAGTCAGTGTCATTTTAATAGTAATCCTGGACTGAAATTCATGTCATTGATATAGAAGAAGGAAACTGTTGTGAAGACAAGATACTAAGCAGCACTTACTGTTTTTTGTTGGACATTACATCATAATAGGGAAGGAGCTATGTCTCTTAAGCAAATTTGCCAAGTAAAGCTACAGTCTGCCAGCATTGTCTTTCAAATCAGTTTTCGGTGTCTACTGTCACCTTCACTGCCTGCCTTTCCCTCAGCAACTTCTTAAGGCAATTTAGACTTTGTACGCAAGAATTTCTATCCATGTTACATACTTGAGTATCTCCTTCTTTAACCTTCATTGCTGCAAAGGCACACTACTGACTCATCTTCAGCTTATCAACCAGGAACTTCATACACATTTCTGCAGAGTTGCTGCCTAGACAATCCCACAGCCTTGACTGTTGTATGGTGCTGTTTGATTTTCATGAGGTCCATTCCTCCAGCTTGCCCAAAAGAGCAGTCCTGTTCACCACTGTACTCATGTCTTCTCTAGCTGAAACCCACCAATAACTGCTACTAGTTTTACTTTCTGCCCTGGCAATAATTTTTTTTTCCTTTGGGAGTGGAGGTTGGTCCAGCCAGCAACTGTGTGAACGTTAGTGCTTTTATAGGAAAGGGGGGAAGTGCCCGTATTAGAAAGGGCATCTGCAAAGAGAATGGAGGCTCGCTCTTCAGATGGAGAAGACAAGGGGCAATGGGTACATTTGCACTGGAAAAGGTTTCACCTTGATATAAGAAAGACATTTTTTACAGCAGGAACAATCAGTCACTGCAACAACTTCTCCAGAGGTGTAGCAGAGATCCCATCACTGGAGGTTTTCAAGATGCATTTGGACAGGGTGGTCTCATCTAGGCTCCCTTTCCCACAAAAGATTGGACTAGATGATCTTTGAAGGCTCCTTCCAACCTGAGCTCCTTCTGTGATTCTTTGTATGAAAGGCTTCAAGAAAAGGTAATCAAATATGGGGAAGTGACTGTAGTAGAGTATGACTCTTCAGTAGTTTTGTAAAGTAAGTAGAAAATTTTACCCTTGGATGCCTCCATTTTGGTGGTGTGAATTTCCTTTCATGAACAGTTCTTTTAGCCATTCTTAAATAATAGAATAAATAAAGAGTAAAGAACTTCTTATCTGAGTTTAGCTGAGTTTGATTTTGCATAAATTGAGGGAGTCAATGACAGCAAAAACTCTTCATCCCAAATGTAAGTTGGTCTCACTCTGAATATAGGTAAAGAACATGCATTTTAAAAATATGCACATATAAAGAACAGACTTAGCCAGTATGTCCTAAGCTGCAAAGAAAAAAATACCTTTTCTGCTCTCAGAATGTTTTCCTACCAGAATGTCTTTGATACTACCCATGCCTATTTGTAGTTCTAGTGCTAGTTAAAAGTTGGTATTGCTTCACTTTCTAGGTCAGACCAAAATGGTAATTTATCTTTGTGGAATAGTCTTTGTTAGCGAGAAAGAGGGGGAGAAAACAACCAAAAACCTCTCTGTGCATTCCATTGCATCAAGCTTATGTTTCTAATCAAATAGAGCTGCTTTATGATGATCCTACACAAAAGTAGATTGTACCAGTTTGTTCTGACATCCTATTTCCTTTTGTTCTGCTAGGTTTTTTATATATTAAAGGCAAGTATGACCTTAAACTGTAGGTCAACTGTATGTGTCCTTGTTCTTGAATCTGACTTTCACATATATATATGTAGTGCTTAGCTCACCAAATTTTTACAACAAGTAGGAGAAGAACTATCAAAGGTTGATTTTTTTTTTATTCCTAATTGTTTAATAGATGCATAGTAGCGTGACTCTTTTGGAGCACTTAAAAGAGGGTACAACTCTTAAGACCTTCAGGATTTGTGGACTGCATTTGTATTGTCTTTTGAATACAGTTACCAAAACGTGTTTTGATGCCAATTTGTTTTTATTGATGAACTGTAAGTGAGCATCAGAGTAAATAAAACACTGAAAAGCCTGAGCTGATGCTACTGATATGGTTGGGTCCTCAGTGGCCATATACTGGTATGTTACCAGCAGCATCCCAATGCTACTATCAGACAGATAGATGATCTAAGTCTTTAATAAAGAATCTGACTATTCTTGCAGCAAGGCAATGTGAAAGTGGTGGATGGCTGAGTTCAAGAAATCTGTTTCTTTCACTAGCACAAATGTAGTTGATAAATTGTCATTCTTTAAAGAAAAGGAGTCAAAAGTAATGTGTGAAAGACTGGTTAGTGCTTGTTTTCACCTGAGAAAATGAATGTAAGGATTTTTAATTTTTTTTGTGGGGAAGTAAAAACATATAAAATATCTGAGGAGGATTTGGGAGTACTATAGAGAAAGTATATATAATAGTGAAAACAGTCAGAAAAATATCAGTGTCAGGCTGGAAGACTTCCAAAGGAAAATAATGGTTTTTTGTAGAGCTCAAGATATACTCCAGCTTGTTTGCCTGATTTATTTGTGGGTTTGGTGGATTTTTAGATAGACAGTTTCTTTTACCCGGAATCTGTAGCATTTTTTTTTTTAAGTATAGGCATTTAACACTATGTGGGCTATAATTATGTCTTATTGAAGTTCTACAATTCTGTGACTTTTTCCCAATATACAGTTTTTGAAGTTACCATCTTTGATAGGATAACATTTATAATTGCAAAGAACTAATCTGTTGTTCTCATTCTGTCCTGCTATTTTAAACACAACTGTGGGGACAAATCCACTGCATAGGCTTTGGAGACAGCAAGAGCTGACAACTGTTTAGGTATGTTCTGAAGGGAATTGTGGGTTATTAACTTTGTTGAATTTTAATGCAGCTTCTCTGGGAATTCATAAGGCAATTTAAAACTGCTGTAGTATTCATTTTGCCTTCCTTTGTCTTCAGTTTTGACAGTGATCCAGTTGCATGTATTTGCCATCTGCATTGGCGATCTCTAAGTAAAATGAGGAGTTTATGATTTGGTCCATGTGAATAATATTGGCCTGGATATTAAAAAGGGGATCAACTCTTTGCTTATGCATTATGACGTCTAAAAATGACTTTGTTCTGGTTGTGCGTTTCTGTTTTGTTCTGTTCTGTGTAGTTGCCCATTAATCATCCACTTGTTCGTTGCTAATTTAATAAAGCATGCAAAGTAGACTGTAGTGATGAGTTCTGTGAATATTGGTGGTTTGTATTATGGAGGTTTTCTTACAGATTGAAAATATTTAGGTCTCCTGTGTGAAAGAGGTCATTGTTAAGATGTGGGGAATTTGTTAGCTATTTTGCAATTGGTTAAGAGATATTTACTATTGTTAAACATATAGGCCCTGATTTTTCAAGTATGTGCCCTACTGTTCATATTTGAACACATTGGGAGGGAATAGTTGTAAGTGGAAAACCTAACAATTTTATAATTTTAGTGGGCTGAGGAAAAACAATAACTGTTTTCTTTTCAGAATTAATGTTAACTTTTGCTTCTCC